AAACATCTAGTAAACTCGGTTCATAAGTAAATACAGTCAACATTTCTTTATAGTTCAGTGGTCATAAATCTACACAAAACGTCGACATTATCTTTGTAAATCTTGTATGGCTTTATAAGTTATTAGACGCTCTATTAGACATAATTTCCGAAATTACTTGTTTGTGGTTWAAGTGTTCTTTCTGTCGGAACTTTTGCTGAAATACTTTCGGAATTACTTACATTCCTCCACTAAATGATCTCAAGATATTCACCGAATTGAATGACATTCTTGTTTTAATTCCTTCACGTGACGGACTTAGTACCGACCGATTTGTAATTTCTATTACTCCTCTTGGAGAATGTGATAAAATCTTTCATCTTTTGTTTTGATTTATCGATGCGAACAAGGTAATGTAACTTAATGAAATGKCATTTTCAATACTCTTTGTTTTGAAGTTTCTGTGCCATTCTTTCGCATGTTGTAKAGTTACTCGAGTGAGGCAAAGGCGAGGCMKTTGCAAATKGCTTTWTAGTGGGTCCATTTCCGCTAATTTCATATACCCTYGTGCTTTCTAATTTACTGAGAAAAATGTATTAAATATTAAAAGCTGTAGTCATTGCAATGCCAATATACGTATGAGATAACAGRAATGTTATTGAGTTTTTAAAAAATGAGGTGTCCTTTCAAAATGAATGCTATGTTGACATTATCATGGGATTATACCACTCCAGAAGACAATCAAGTTGTTTGCAAAGGGCTYTACAAAATTGAATACCTTATTTATCACCTTGATCTCCAAGGATCATGCATTATTACAGAAAACACAAAGAGCTGTCCGAATTGTGCGCTCTAGGTGCAAGTCTGTTCAAGGGCTGGGGGGTAATACTAATCCCTTGCAACTGCAACAATGCGGTATACTCGACAGAAGTTTTCTAAGAAGTCCCCAATTGAATTAAAATCTCAAAGATGCTCAAAGATATCTTAATTTTAAACTCTAAAGCATTTGTAGCATGGTTTTCACATGTGCTGTAGGCGGAGAGTATATGGTGCTCACGCACGTGTGAAAAGTCAGCAGATAGTGAAGGATACGGAGAGGGAAGGAGCGAACGTTAAGTTTGAACGAAGCTTAAGCAGGATAACAAATTACAATCTTCCACTCAGCTTCCTTCACCGCTCTGGTCACTCGAAACTTTATTTTGCGCAGTGACAGTGCTTGAATAGTTGCCAAGAATAAGTTTGTCGACACCAGTGACCTCGTTTTGCAATTTTGCAATTTCGCAAAACAGAAACAAATGATTATATCACWCGAAAAAGACTGAATACGTACTTTGAAATAGACTTTCACGTATTCCCCTTTAGGCTCCACTCTCGCGCTTCACTTGTCTAAGTCTCTAAGAGTGTCTGACTTGTGGCAAGTCGGAAACCACAACGAGGACCCCTCATCTCATATCAAAGCATTCTCGCACGAACGCAGACAGGTACAATATGGCCCTAGATTTCGAGGAACCACCGAGCCACAGAGATTGTCATTGATAATATCCAGTGAGATTATAGTGAAAATACTGAAAGTTTCCAGCTGGASCCAAATTTGCGCGTCAATCACCTCTTCGAGCTTTGCAAGTGAGTGCAGCCCCTAGGGCAGTCGATACATTGATATTTGACTGCTTATTTTATATCTAAGGTGTGTGGTTTATAAGAGCAATAATTGTTTCTTTGTCGCGACATCGATACATTTTGACAAGTTTCGATTCTATTACAAAATGTTGAATTGAATTAAATTGAAGGATCACGTAGAATACTGACGCAAATGTAGATGTAAAATGTAAAATGATTACTAACAGAAAAATGAGATGGAAAGATAAAAAGGGAAAATATTGTTTTAAAAAAGGAGTAAAGAAAGGATGACTGGAATTGAGAGGATATACGCGAAGCAATCAATAAGTATCTCAGAAAGGAAGCTAATTCAAGGGACGAATCATCTTAGCTGCGTTTATATCAATTCTGATATCTATAAACCGCTTATTCCTATCTGCCTTTACACGAAAGCGATCATTGCTTTACGATATTCCAATACTGTCATCGTTTCAGTTGTTGGTTTTGTGTAAGCGATAGACCTAAATGCAATAAAACATCCATGGTTTTGAAGATGTCCAGATGCGTGCGAACGCAGCTTTTAAACTTAACAAATAGTTGAACGGATGTCACTGAATGGATGGATTAGTGAATGAATGAAACGAATAGACTTTATCACTAATACGCCGCCATCTTGAGTATTAGGAATAAAATGTAGTATGTCCACTGGGCAAAATGACACATTGTCATAAAACATTCGCGTAATATACTTAAAAGTTCTTTTCTTTGAATTCGTGCTTCAAAATTTATATCATTTTCAAAGCACATTTCAGATTTTTCATATTGATTTTCATGCGATTCTCAAAGTCACAGTAATGTCTTTTTAGYGCCCTTTTTGTGCCTCWTGAGCAATGCGCGTTCACGYTAGCGATTTTTGAGGTGATTTTTGCTGCAATTTTTCTAGCGATTTAAAAAATATGATAGATTTTGTCTTATAAAGTTAATTCGTTAGCCTTGTTCTCTAGGATCAAAATGACTGCAAAAATCGCCGCAAAAATCATCRCAAACGGGCCTTTACTACATCGATTGCTCGTTTTCATCCATTTCCATGAGATTCAAAAGATAAAAGGCCGTCGGCCATGTTGGAGGAATGAAAAATAGATGCTAATGAAAAAATTCTTTGTTAAAGTTCCTCCAAAATGGCCGGCTGTACGTGACGTTACCTGAAAACGAAGATGAAAATGATAGAATTAATATTCAAGATGGCGGTCGTATTGCTATAGTGACCAGGAATCTGTATCTAATTAACTSATCTATGACAACGAATGAATGTCTGCATAGTAAATGGGAGCGCGGTTGAATGAAAATGATTGAATGAATCCTCGTCTCGGCTCTTTTATTTGGTTCAGTGTTGACTGTTTCATGCTGTCAAGTTATCTCACATCTCTATTCATAGGAAAATACGGCTAACTGGCTGAATTAAATCCTGAAATATGAATTCAAAGCAAAAGTGAAATATTGATAACGCTGTTATACACGCATTGGCTTTGAGCATTTCTTTGATCAATTACGACAATTAATATTTCATCCCCACGCTAATACTAGCTCATAATAATTCAAGTTTTTTCGCRCTTCTTAATTTAATTTACAGACTGCTTCAGTTTCTGTCCATACATAATCACTTAAGCACAATATGCACGAAAAGCTTTTCTACGATAAAAGATTTCCGAGAAATTCTTCAATGAATTTTTTCCCATCACGTTGAATTTAAAACTGAAAGAATCGAAACTGAGAAAAATGTGTGAAGTACTCGTTTGTTATTTTTGCGAGACATCAGTGAAGTTTTCCTCTTCATTTGAAATGACTCGACGCTGTTTATTGCTTGGCGTTTTGAAATTAAATGATGTGAGTGTATTCATGTCAGACTGCGTTGTGTTCCAACTGAGATGTTGCAAAGCTGTTGAAATGATCGATTGAAGTAAAATTCCATCTCTTTTAGTGAAAGACGAAAGCCCTAAAACAGGCCCGCAGAGAACGCAGAGGATTTGAACGGTGAAATTATATTTTTTGAGCAACCGGCTAGAAATAATCGCTATTACCTTCTGTATTTTGACACAAAACTGACATTTTCTAATGGATTTCTGAACGCGTTTCTGTCAATCGAATTGATATATGTATTACCCATATTACTTTGCGAAGCACCTGTTGCATACACGCCTATCWAAAACAACGGGTGGTAGCACAAGCGAAACACATTATTATTCTTTATTTTTTAAATTAAAATTCCGTTTGGGATTTTGTTTTGAAGTCTAGAAATGYAAAGAAGCTTTCGTCACAGCTCGAGATATTAATGTCATTTTTTTGTGACAAATTTTGGTCGTCAAGATATTAATTTCAAGCGTTGTGTTTCAATTCTTGTTATGCAAAAATGTGGCCGGATTTCAGATGCGCGTTTGTTTCTTGAATTGTTAAGTATTGTTAATATATTCAATGTTCCGCTTTTGGCAAACGTGAGAGTCAAAGAAAAACTTKTTAGTATTCTGCTGAAAGCGTCGTGTGCATTCACCATCAGTCAAATTTAAGCTTTATATCTTCAGATTATGCAAAAAGAGCGGGAAAAGCAACAGACGCGACGCGAAGCAATTTTCCCGCCTTTCGCTGTGAACGCCTGGATTTGATAGGCTCCTCATGAACTGATAATAAGCCAAACATCGTCAAAATAAAATCGATATATATCTTTTTTCATTTAAGTTGTCATTGTGAATGCAAAATGGATGTAAATTGTGTATTTTTGGACGTGAGCACACGATTTTTGATAAAATTAAATAAGAGGGAGAGACAAACAGCTTCTTGAGCATCGACGCATGGCAAAATTTCTCTGACACATGCGCATRACGCCGGCTGGTTTTCTGCCTCCTTTTCACAACAACAAACCTCTGAAACCTTCAAGTCAAGAAAAAGCAGTTTCTTGAAGACTGAGCGTCTTAGTCGCATTGATACTGAACTAGAAAGCCATGTTTTGGAGAGTAATTTGACTGGTGACAATACTGAAGATCTTTTGTGGCTGTCATCTTGGCTTTTCATGGTAATTCGGTTGCTCTGGAATTATTCGTAGTGAACCGTAGCGCCTTTACCAGCCAGCACCTAGCCAGTTGTACGTCAGATTGGCAAAATAATCAAGAGACAAGAATTATTCTCTGGAAATTCACTTTAGAATTCATCATGTTGGACATACTAAAAGCACTGAAGTCACTTCTTCACCCAAACGCAACCAAGTAAGCTAAGCTTAAGTTATGTATTTTATAAATCATCTTTCATTTTTTTAAAGTCGAAAGCTCGTCATCTTTTTCYTTATTTTCAAATTGATTTAATTTTATTGACATACACGAATATATTCTAGAGTCGACATTTTTTATATATTTTTTTGTGTTTTTAGATGTTTTAATTTTGCAKTGCGAAAAACGTGTTCTTCTTTATCATTCTAGAAGGTGTTATTTGGGGATTTGCGTTGCTTGAATTGACCAGTCACAGCCACTGTTTTAGACACTAGAATCAGCTTATTGTTCTCTTTTGAATGTCTTTTTATTTTCGACAGTCATTACCTTAAAAAGTGTTCCCGGCCTATATTTTTTATTATTTTTTCCTTGTTTCTTTAAAACTGTCAAAATATTCATAAAATACGTGACTATTTTATCGTGTCGCATGTTTTCATCTTAATCGGAAAGTGCAAAATTATCATCCCTATTCAAAAATTAATATTTTTAGATGAATAAACAGTTTTAAATCWCATAGCCATATCGAGATAAGATTTTTACAAGAAAATTAAGAACATGATGGAGTCTCTCATTTTATTTGAATTTCTTATTTTATACTCAATTGTGCTTAGTGTTTACTTTAACATAATTTTAAAAACACACGTTCTCATTGAGGTATATTTTCTTGACTTATATTTTGAATAATTGAAAAATCTGTCTATGATTATGTCAACATTTTGTCATATTTTCCTTGGAGTGATGGCATTTTGTAGACATATTTAGCATTTGCGGTTAAAATGTTTTTTTTTCTGTTTTTTTTTTTTTTTTTTTTAATTCAGTAAAAATATTAAATATATGGGGGGAAATGTGAATTAACTTTATACTATCATGTCCGAGCGACTTTGAAAAAAATTGTCTATGTTTATGTCAACAAATTATTTGTATTTCTCTTGGTCAATTTTCATTATTTTTAGTGAAAATATTCAAGAACAGGAAAAAATATGAATTTATATTAGTATTTAGAAGAAGCGACTGTTTTAATCCCGTCTTTCGACTGAACAGACACAACCCGGCCCCGAACTTCTTCCTGATCAGTCATTTCTGAAAATGTCATACCGTCTAAAATGTCATCGGTAAAAATGGCATGGGCGAAGCGATTTTTCCTTTTTTCTGTAGTTTGACACCTTAATTGTCTAGACCGACAACTCTCTTGTAAGGTCTAGAAAGGATTATAAGGAATTATTACTTTTCTAGGGGATTTTCAGTCATCTTTTCAGTTTTCCGCTTATTATTGGTCTTATTTSGAGATCCAATGGGATCAATTCCCACTTTGTCCAAAGGCTCTCATGTCAGGGGATTAAAATCGCAAAAAATCAGCACGCTCTTTAGGTCGCGGTCGATCCTCGAACTCAAGCTGGGAATATTGTTATAAGGATGAAATTAAAATCAATAATACATTTGTTATGGTTTCGAAATTTYCCCAAAAGCACGAAAGCGAACGTCGAGCCTTTWAACGMCAAATAGAGTACAWRGCTTTAATATTTCCAACGCTTTATGTAATAGTTAATGAGCTGTTTTTTAACTTGACTTCAAAGCAGACAATAATAGGAAAACATTTCCGAGGATTCACGGAACAATTAGAACATTTGAAAAGACAACGTGTCTGCGCAATTCAATGCAAATTGCCAAAACTACTAACAAAAACCTGCCTAAAAAACCGCTTTTACAACCTTTAAATTCTATAAAAAATGGCAGGGTTTTTCGAATGACAATGAAAGGAAATGACTTATTCCCAAAACAAAAATATTCAATTCAGAATTCTACTGATGGTTATTCAAAATGGCACTAAATTTATATTAACTTTTGCGTACTTTGTTGTAAGAATTCGCCCACAAGATACTATCCGCCGGAACTTCAAATTAAATTGATCTATTGCCCATCTCAGCCCACATATTCCTCTCAAAGAACTTCCCATAATTTATTTCCGTAATTATTTCGTTCTTATTTCACAAGAAACGTTTGTACTTTGCTGGAAACCTAGACTACTTGGGGTTATTTTTCTTTGGAACATTTAAATGGCTTTTTCAGCTTGTGACCAATGAAATTTAATTATAGAAACTTGCTGACGGTTGCTTGTCAATGATTGGACCAATCAAACGAGCGCTGGTTGCACTTCAATGGCTTTCTTAGTACTGCCAAAAAAAAGTTTCAAATGTGTAGTTATTTCAGTCAACAATCGTCAACAACTTCATTTTCTTCTAGGAAAATCTCATTTATCTCACTCATATTTCACRATATGAATGTTATGAGGAATTGTAAATAGATTGTTTTTGTTTATATTTATTGATAAAACTGGMGTGGTTTTTGTAGATTTTTTTCTTTTGGCAATAAAATGTATGCATGAAATTAAACTTGTTTTCTTATTTGAGCAGACATCGATGCAGTTTTCATCATTTTTCATTAGGGAATATAACTGCGGCTGCTCAACATGAACTACTGAATCAGTTTAGCCATGCAAGGTTTTACATGTAAACGTCTGCTACCTTTGTCGCCATTGAGTTATTATAGTTTGCGCTTTGTTACATTTTAACACTGTTTACTTTTCATTGTCGTATCTTGAATTGTTTCCATCAACTTTTTCTTCGAACTTTTTGAACTTGTTGTGCTTATTGAAGTTCATTATCGTTTAAGTTTTCGCCGGGAGTGATTCCACTTCAAGTTCCTCTTGCTTTTGTTATTGTTAAGAATCCGTTTTGTTTATTTATTTATCCAACTTATTCATAAATGTGTTTGTGTTTATTTAAATCCCTGTTATATCTCTTCATTTAATCTAATTATAAACAACATTTAGTATATTTTCCTTCAAACCATTTTGTTATTTTAGCATTTTCATAATTATTCTCTTTCGTTTTGTATTTCTCATTTTATAATTGTTATTCAACTTTTTTTTATTTTGACAAACAGCAACRTGAGGTGTCAAGYGTGTGAAACCGCATTTCAGTTCAGAACCACAACAAAGTTAAAACATATGGGTTCGCGATTACGCTACCGCAAGCTAGCAAAAATTGGGCTTTAGGGGCTATTAATTTTATTATGTAAACATTTTCAGCAAAATGCCATCGCCATATCACGAGCACTGCGGAAAACCAGGGCCCAAGAGCAACGATTACATGCCTCCACCCGAAGMAAGGATTTTTAAATCTCGAAGCGCYCCAAACTCGCCATGTTTAGAACGAAAACCTTTGTTYCCMCGTTCTCCACGCCTCGCTCGTTCTCCAAAATTAACAAGAGCTACTACCCTGCTAACAGAGAAGAGACTRGCTGATAAACTTAGAGAAAATAAGAGTCCTCGTTCTTCTAAGCTTACAAGAAGCAAGTCTTTTGGTTCCTCAAAAAGTAAGTTGGAAATGCTTTGGAAATACCGTTCCAAGCGTATCCTGGCGAGTTTTGTAAACATGGTAAACTAAATGCGTACCCTTTCTTGAAGAATTCCTCCTGCGCTTTGCACTTGAATGGCTTTCCAATTTCTTGAATATGTGCATTTGAGTGGCTTTACAACACTTTCAATTGATATCAGTTATTTAAGTTCATCTATTTATACCAGTTTGCAATTCACATTACTTAACTTTACATATTAATTCCTGCTGTTAATCCCTCTCTTCGCTGGTGCTTTACTGTAAATCCGTCCCGTTCTATTTTCGGCGCCATTGTTCAAAATATCAACTACGTAATATACATTTTTKCGGGAYTAAGCTTCATAATTTGGGATTTCCATTTCAAAGTTTTCGTGAAAATTAAGTAATAAAGATATTTATTAAATAGGAGACATTGTTTTGGATAGGATTAATTGGTATGAATACTTCAAACGACAAACACTCTACCATCTAGAAACCGATTTGCGCATATCAGTGAAAATCGTTTGTCAAAATAATGTAAAAACACTTAGAGTTTTGCAGATTTTCTCTTTGTAAAATATTTTTTTTCCTTACATTTATTTTAATTATTCTTTTTTCTTAAATTTGTCCTTGATAATTGTCTGGAAGTCTCGAAAATTGTAAATAATGTGTAGGCATTGCAGAAATCAGTAGGATTCGCTGTGTTTACTCAATTGGAGCAATTTTCTGTTAAAAATTCTCCTTTTGAACTTATTATAATACGTTTTTTTACACTGCTAAAAAAMCCTGTTTATTTCCATTGATGTTTGAAAATTTTTACACGTTGATTTTAAAGTAATTTTTGCGTCAAAATCAACAATAACAATCCACTTTGTTGAATTTTTCTGTGGTTTCAATAATAATTAATATTGGTTCCTAAGGAGTCTGGAATATTTCCAATTCTTCGATTTTAAAAGCTTTCTCCACTGAAAAAAGCATTAAAAATGTTGCAATGTCATTATGAAAAGAAGACAATAAAAAGATTTTGCGCCATAACAACTGTACCCTCCCCCCAAGAGTGTAGTTGCGTGACGTCACACGGGTAAAGGTGCATCCTCAGAATGTCATGTGAAGGTTTCGTTGAAGTAGATCGGCTAACCTTAGAATCACTCGTCTTGAAATGACTGAATGCCACAAATGTGGCAAGCCTGTTTATTTTGGTAAGCTTTGCTRGCCTTTGRGAGAATTTTGGAGGGAATTTTGAACTCTGACAAGCGACTAACATCCGCAAAATGTTGTTGTCATTCGAACGGTTGAACRCATGCATTGGAAAGCGAAGCTCACATTCWAGATTATYCAAACCCTCTTTGGTCGAATTTAATCGTTTAAGTTAATAATAATATCTTGTAATCTCTATTCTATTTTTAATAGCTGAGCAGAGAAACTCTTTAGGAAAAGCATGGCACCCAAGCTGTCTTCGCTGCGAGGAGTGTGGYAAACGCTTGAACCCTGGTCAGCATTCAGAGGTATTTCCACAGATAAACAAGGCATTTTTTCGTCTAAWATAGCATTATATTSTCCTTTATTTAGTCAGTTAAGAGTATGTAGCTTGCAATGCGCTTTCCAGGTGTCCCATACTTCAAAAAAGTGATGGCTTTAGTGGATGTTTACGAGTATTAGACGTTTCTGTCGCGAGCCGTTCAAGTCATGTGTAAATGAGACCATGAATAAATTGAATAATTAGTAAAAAAGCATTCGTTTCTTATACCTTATGCTAAGGTATTAACTTACAGCCTATGGAAAGTCCTAGAAAAACTACAAATTATTTTATAGATACTATGTATACTTAATAGTTTTTATCGTACAACTATCTATAAAATACCTATTTTAATAGTTTCATTATGATCGATATCAATCAACTATATCAAGATTAAATCTTTATTATCACTATTTTTCATTAAAAGTTCGATCATTTTTGACATTATACAAGTAATTTGTCATCTTATAATTTGACTTAATTAATCTTTTTTGTTTAAATCCGGTTGGAGGTTTGTTTTGCATAAGAATTCCCACTTCAATATTGTGATGTCTAGTTAGGAAAAAAAATATGAAAAATAAGAAAGTAATATTATTGTATATATGTATAATTATTTGAATGAAAAGTAAAATTTTCAATAGTAGTGAAATAATTATGTAATTCTAATGTTTTTATTCGTTGATTATTGTTACCTTTGCAATATATTCAAGACAGCTAAACATATAATTTGAGATTACCATTGTTTATATTAATACACAAATCCATCACCCACTGAAAACATATGACATCATATTGAAAGGGCAATTCTCTTCATATGGATAATCATCAAATGCAATAAATGTTAAGGCAAATACTATGCAACTCAAAAACAACTCAACTTGTCTCTAAAAATTCCTGTTTTCCAATTTGAAGTCAGTGTTTTTTCATCTTGCCTAAGTACTGGGAATTGTCGCCCAACAAAAAGCAGGACCAGAAAATCAAGAAACACTGAAACTGAAACTTGAACAGCAACAAAGCTGTGTGCCAAGCGTATTTGAGTATTTCTTGCCCATTATTGTATAGATTGATCTATGTGCCAATCCTAGACTTCAACCTGCGGCCAGTTACACAAGGGTAATTTTAGTTAATAATACCCAGTGCCCCAWAGTTTTTTATGACAAGTGACAAATTTAGGGAAGGTGTCTTTACATAYAGCACAATTTGTTTTGAATTTCTCATGTTTCTAGATGTTTTCACCTGACTCATTCATTAAAATTCATTTTTTTTTTACTTTTTGCTTTAAACCCAAACAAAAAATTAATCACTATTTTTCTCATCTTTGTAGACATACCATCTATAGATACATAATTATTAATAACCCAGTTTCAGAAACAATGGATGCCAAAACATTCATTGAGAGTCTTTATTCAAACTCAAAAAGTATTTCTTGAAAATTCATTACTTCAATGAAAATGTCTAATATGTAGTTGAGAGCTTTTGAAACAAAACAACTAAGCAAAAAGAATGCCACTTTCTATGCAAATCCAGATAATCAATATTTATGATATGCAAATTTATTCATATAATGTCAGGCATGAGCTTGTGGTTTCTTGAATAAAAATGAACCAAAAATAGCAATGACACTGCTGAATCATGGTTACTTGTAGTTCAAAGCCACATGGAGGCTGAGTTATTTGTCTTGCTCCAGAGATCAATCCCACATGTTTTGTCTGTCTGGGTGGTAAGAAAAAGCTTTTAAGATTCACATTTTCTTGTTTTGTTTTTAAGTATTATTTCAGTCAAATACAAAGGAAAAAACAAGAAATACAATGCTGGTACACTGTCCTTTTGTTTGCTCTTGTGATATTTTTACCAAATGTCTGGCTATTCAGACAAGAGAAAATGTCTTGAATATAGAATAATGTTTGTGTTTTACATGGAAGGTTATATCAACCAGAGCTTTCTATGATGATAATTCTAAGCATTTTGTAAAAAGTTATAAGTTTATTGCTTTTTTCTCAAGTCAATTCATCTGTATTCCAAGTGTGGCAATTCATTATTTACATGTATAAATATAACTGTTTTATGAAAGGTGATTATCAATCTCAGGACAGTTTATTTCTTTCCTAATGCTTCATCTCATTTAACCTTAAATAAAACAGAAAGATAGCATTTCTTATTTTTTTTAACCCTTGGTGCCTTTTATGGTCATTTACATCATGTAATGTTTCTGGACAAAGTCTGTTTCTATTCATAGATTATCATACTGATCCCAGTAAGTGGTCTGATGATCCCTTTTTGCCTTTGTGTTTAAGACATAAACACATTATATTGGTTATTAACCTTGTATTTTTCATTAATTACATTCTGAATATGTGTCCAAGAACATTTTTCATGTCAACTCTTATGGCTCCGATGTCTAGTAATGTAGCTATTATTAACAGAATAACAGTGTTTGTTCAAACCCATTCATCTTGACTCATTATACATCATGTTGAAACAAAGGTCAAAATTCAATGGTAAAATGATTTATTTAGAATTTCAGTCATGTGGTTAGACAGTTGTCTCARTTGGTATTTCAGGTCAAGGGATTGTGTTTTTGGTTATCTGCCAGATAGGAAATGCTTTTATCTTTGTGTTTTGATCAATTTTGATCATGTGGTATACAGAGTTGTTTTTACATTGTTGTTGTCGTCGTTTTTG